GTACATAATGCTACTAATGGATGTCTTGAAACCTTAAAGTGCACTTTCTCCTTGTTAGCGTTACCATGTCCTGCTTTTACACGTTAAATGATACCCAGACGATTGCTTTCTTCACAAAGCCGCGGGAAAATGAACCCTTGCCAGAGACTGGTTTTGGAGAGCTGCAAGTTGTACTGAGACTTGCTTGGGGTACGCTAAAATGCTGTAATTTACAAGAACTTCCACAATGCTACTTGACAGGTGGTCTTATTCTGTTGGAGCAGTTTATATTTTGATCATTAAAATATGATCAAAATCAACCATACTATATTGGGTATAAAAGGGGTTCTTGGACTATTAAAAGTGGCAGGAAAACTTCAGATAAGTGCTCTGTGAATTGTTGCTTTTATTTCTCCCTCTCCACCCAGATGGCTCTTATAATCATTTCTATGTAGAGGAGGATTACCCAGTTGTAAAGTACTTAAGAAGTCCTCTGTTCTTTGAAGTGGCGCTGCTTCAGTCCACTGATCCTCAGATAGAGTTAGTCTTGGAGAATTGTTGGGCCACTCTGAAAGAAGACCGGAACTCTACTTCACGATGGGACTTGATTGTGGATGGGTAATGATTTAAACACACGTGCGTGTGTATCAATACAATACATGTCTACAGTTGTGGCCAAAAGTACATGCACTTTGCAGTATCTGCACATTTCACATAAGACGTTTACATGGTCCACAAGAGAAAATAAGAAATCAAAAGGATCCAGTTCAAAAGTTTCCATATGCTTGCTTAAGACTGTGTTGTTGCCTGGATGATCCACAGCTTTTTTTTGTGTGTGATTTTTAGTTGTTCATGAGTCCCTTGTTTGTTCTGAACAGTTGAACTGCCCGCTGTTTTTCAGAAAAATCCTTCAGGTTAATTCTTTGGTTTTCCAGTGTCTTTTGCGTATTTGAACCCTTTCCAATAATGACTGGGATCGGGGGTTCCCTTCTCTCACACTGAGGACAACTGAGTGACTCATACACCACTATTACAAATGTAAACGCTCCAGAAGGAAACCTGATGCATTAAGAGCCTGGTGGTGAAAACGTTTTGAATTTGAAGATCAGGGTAAACTGAACCCATTTTGTCTTCTGGGAAACCTGCAAGTATCTTCTGAAGGGCCGTACTAAATGGAATGTTATTTAGGCAAAATAAAAATGTAACCGCACGGTATTAAGAAACAAGCGCATGTAAACTTTTGAACCGGGTAATTTTATAAATTCAGGTTCTTTTGTGGACTACATAAATGTCTTGTGGGCTTATTCTTGTCAGTACCAAAAAAAAATTCATTTTGTATGATCCCTCTTATTTTGTTCAAATTAACATTTTTGCAGATACTGCAAAGTGTAAATTGTTTTTTTGGTCCGTTTGATCTCAACAGCTGTGTGAATCTGGCTGACCGTTACGAGACGGTTTTCCACCCTGTTGCCCCTAACAGCGTTCCATACCCATCGCATGTGAAGCACTTTGAAATCCAGATGTTTACTTTCGTGCAGAATGATGTCGTACTTCAAGATCAGGTAATTTTTTCATCTGAGACATTATTTGTGTATTTAAGCATATCATTGACGACTACTCTCCCCAGATTTTTGTACACTGTGATGCTATGCTTTGTGATGAGAGTGATGGAATCTGCAAGAGACACTGTCCATCTCCCATGCCTTTAAAAACTGGGAAGAAAGGTATGCCCACTGTGACTTTATGTATTTACTTTAAAATTGCACATTCTAATTACCAGTTGGTCTGTAATTTTGTTTATGGCTTTTTTCCCATGAAGTACGAAGAGAGACAACTAATGTCCAGTCCCAGAGAGTACAGCTGTCATCAAGAAAAATATTGCTCTTAGTCGGTTTTGATTCTGAGTCTTAATAAAGTCTCGTTCAAAACACCTTTTATCTTGGCATGTCCTGCAATTTGTCAGGTGCTTGTAACTTGCTTTTCATGAGCTCGAGTACAGGTGAGCAGCCTCTGCGTAAGGTCGCAATGCTTTTAGTTTGAGAAGTTAAACTCTGGTCCAGTAGATGGTGTGGCATTTACACACTTTCTGATGGCAATGGTTTTTATTTTGTGCAGTTCATCTTTTGTTTTTTTTTATTTTATTTTTTTAGAAACTGGTCTATGCTACACCTTCAAAAACAGATTGTACATTAGTTACCATCAAACACCATCCTTTAATCCACAAGTGAATGGGAAAACTTTGAAGTTATCTATTCCTATAGTAACATTGAACATAGTAACATTTTGAATCCTATCTTTGTATGTTCTAGACTATACTTGACAAACTGAAGTAATCTTGCTGTTAGATGTCATGAGGGGATCTTCTCTGTAATGTAATTTCTTGTCACATGAGTTACAATACGCCTTGCATGTTGATTTATACTAACTTCGTTTTTAGTATTTAAGGGGAGACACTGCAGGCAAAGGGGGGGGTTCCTGTCTCGTCTCTCTAGACAGTGGGAAGAAAACATCCAAAAGGCACTTAAGCGTTTCTTTTCTAGCACTGTCTGTCAATAGATTTCAATTACAATACACATTTTAAAGGTAGTTCTCAATGAGGTTTTTAAATCTCCACTTCAGTAGCACTTATACAAACCAAACTTTACGTTTTTATTCCTGTCGACATTCTGAAGGTTTTTAGAGGGATTTGTTCATTTGCTTGATTTATATACAATATATGTCCCCCAAAATTGTGAAAATATTGTTTTCTGGCTGTTCAAAGTATTTTCTGTGATAATTTTTTTTTTTTTTTTGCACCCTCAGATTCCAGATTTTTAAATGGTTGCATCTCGGCCAAATATTGTCCGATCCTAACAAACCATAAATGGAAAGTTTATTTATTCAGCGTCCAGATGTAAAAATCTCAATTTCAAAAAATTTACCCTTATGACTGGTTTTGTAGTGCAAGGTCACATATTTGACTATTACTCTTTACCGTTTTTTTTATTTATTTATTTTTTATTAAATGCAGCCTTGGGCAGCATGAGACTTCTTTCAAACACTTTAAAAGTACATATTAGTACCTGAAGTGTACATTTTGATAAGGTACCGCCAGTGACCGCTTTTGGAAATTATTTATTTATTTTTTCTGAGAATGAAGAGATTAAATGTTACCCATACTTTAGAGCAGTAGTATTTCATAATTGTTTTTATTCCAACTCAACTTGCCAGCAGTAACCATGCACTTTCACTGTATGGAAGCAAACTATAAGTACAAGGTTTGAGCAACTTTATTTGGAGCAACTTCCGACCTGTAAATAGGTGTGTTTTGCTGCAGTTTTACCCCAAAATTTTTTTTTACTAGCAACAATTATTCTTTCTTTACATTATCATAAGCTACAGCTTTTCCTATTTTTGTGGGTGTTCCTGTTATACTTAATGCAAAAGGGAATAACTTCAAAGTATGGTAAAACTGGGATTTCGGAGAGGCTTTAAATGATTCCTTCAAAGGTGAAGCACCTTATTTTGTATGTGTGTTGGGGGTGGAGAGCTTCACACTTCTGCCCTTATCTTTGCTGCAGTGTGGTCTGGGTGCCAGACTTGTGACAGTGACACTTCCTATTCCACATAATGCCCCTTTTATTTTTGGGTGCTGTATATATCTTTGTTTATTGTATCAAATGATCTTGCTTACCATTTCAAATCAGTCTTGAAACATGTTCTGATATTTAAGAAATGCAGAAAAGACCATGATCAAAAGTAGTGATTGATATTTGATGTGAATGTTTTATTGGCC